TCGCGTCGAGAAGTGACCGTGTCAGGGTCAAGAACAGAGGGCCGAAGTTGCGAAAGGCTCAGGGTGATGGGCGTTTAGGGTTTAAGGTTTAGGGTTTAGGGGTTAGGGCTTCGGGTTTAGGGTTGGGGTTTAGGGTTTAGAGTTTATAAGGTTTAGGGTTTAGGGGTTAGGGTTTAGGGTTTTAGGGTTTAGGGTTTAGCGTCTCGTTGCACTGTCCGTGCTCAAAGGTATCGAGTGCTTCGTCCATGCCATCACCATGCAAGACGAAGCGGAACCTCGATTCTGATTTCGCACAGCCTTTTGCAGTCCATCCATATGGGTAGCCCTTAACTTGGAATCCTTTATGTAGTCGCGCATCTTGTAAGCATTACCCCTCACAGGGATCCTAACTTAAAGAGCTACCCATAGACTTTGGTTTGCGGGTTTAGGATTTTCCGGGCTTCGAGCCCGCCCCCCAAATACCCGAAACATTTTTCGAGCAGGCAGCTTGAAGCAGGCTTGCGTGACCTTGTACCTTGCATGGGGCGACATGCAGCTTCGTTGTGAAAACCCATGTTTTGGGTATCCATCCTGAAAGAGAAGCCTGATTTCTGAAGTCTTCAAGCACGTACCGTACAGAAAGCACGTACAAGAGCCTCCAGACATCTGAATTGCAAACCCTACCAACCCTCCTAACCACAAGACGCCAGTGGATCCTAAACCCTAAACCCTAAACCCTAAACCCTAAACCCTAAACCCTAAACCCTAATCCGGAAGCCAAGGTGGTGGAGAGGGAGCTCCAACACTGCCGCGACAAGCACGTTGCCACCGATGCGGTAAAGATCTCACTGCCAGGTGTGGGTGTAGGGTTTAGGGTTGAGGGTTTAGGGTTTAGGGTTTAGGGTTTAGGGCTCAGGGTTTAGGGTTTAGGGTTTTGTGTCGTTTAGACCCCAAACCACACCCAAATCCCAAAGCCTTCCCCCAAGGAAGACTTACCGGCTTGGAAACCCCAATCCCTAAACCCTAAACCTTACTAGTGCAAGGATGCATCTGAAGTAGGGTGTAGGGCGTTCTTTACTAGTATCCCGTAGAGCTAGTCGTTAAAAGGAGCACTGTATACACACAAAACACATATGCACACTCTACTACGCTCATTAATATATGTATATATATATATGCACCTAATACAGATATGCATAAATATATGTGTGCACGCATAGTTCTGGTATCGCACCCAGTTCCGCACTCCCTTTCTTCTTCGGAAAGTATGGCTTCTGTGTTTTGGGGCCTATTGGGGTAAAGACTGGCTAGGACCCATGCCGCTACCGCGGCCGTGCGACTTCTCCCACCTGAAAGTCTGGCAACCAGGCCGCTGTTGCTGAAGCTGTTTGCAAAACCCGAACCTTTTTCTGGTAGGTCGCCTGAAAGATCTTAGAAGGGGCTCTAGAATGACCTACATTTTTGGCAGGTTTGGGGTCCTTTTCCGGAGTATGCACAGTTTATAATGTCAATGCCTGAGTCTCTAAGAACATGCTTTCACCGTGGGGATGTGCCCAAAAGACCAATACACCATAATATAGGGGTCGGAAGAATTACTACGAGTATTCCCTTCTGGTAGTGCAGAAACCTTATTCTAAGTCTGTAGGCGCCCTATGTTAGGATTAGCATCGCAAGTTGCTGAACAAGTCCGTGAGGCCTCCGCCCCTGCCAGAAGCAGCAGATCACCCTACAGACCCCGTTGTTTGGCCCTAGATGTGCCCTAAACATTATATGGGAGTTTCCGAAAATAAGGTACCCCTAAATGTAGTCCCCCAGATTAGTAGGATCCCCTTGTAATATCAGCACCTCAAAAAGGTACCCCCTAATTTCGGAAACCCCCCTTCATACACAGTCACGCCTTCAAAAGCCCTGGCCAGGCTCTCCGGAATTCAGGTCCCGCTGGTATTCCGCGCTGCCTGGCGAGGCGGGGGCGGTCCCTTGCGCCAGCGCCTGCTGCCTGGACACCACGTTCATCCCGGCCTACCCGGCGGACGCGCAGCAGCTTGGACGCCGCAGAGCCGAGCGGGGCTCAGGGTTCAGGAGTATAAGGTACATTAAGATGTTATGAAAGAATTGCAGTATTATAAGAGTAGAGTACGATGTATCAAGATAAAACAAACGAAACATAGCATCTAAGCGTTGATTTTTAGCCATTCCAGGATCCCTCAACATGGCAAGCGATCAGCTCTAGCGCACCGCCGTGAGAAGTGCGCGTGCTGTAAATGAAGCACAGCCAAGCAGCCCGCAGGATACCCTAAACCCTAAACCCTAAACCCTGGACCCTAGACCCTAAACCCTAAACCCCAAACCCTAAACCCTAAACCCTAACTCCTAAACCCTAAACCTTAAACCCGAAACCCTAAACCTCCCGACATCGGAGTCTGCAAGATGTGAGGCATTGCCCATACGTGGCGACGACCACGACTTCAACGACCACTTCTACAGCGCGGCCGGTGGCTCGGACTCGGACTCGGAGTAGGCCCTTATATTCTTTTTGGGGTTGGGGTTCCCGGCTCATCGCACCCTTTCTACTCCTGGCTCTAGTAGCCCTAAACCCTAAACCCTAAACCCTAAACCCTAAACCCTAAACCCTAGGTGGCTCGGGGCTTCATCTTCCAGCTGTTCGGAACGATGCGAATGCCCCGGTGACTCCTTCAGGAGGACACTCCTGGGATGCCAGGGGGGCCCTCTAGAAATGCAGCTCTCTAGAGCCCAATGGGGGGGTAGGGTTTGGGGTTTGGGGTTTGGGGTTTGGGGTTTAGGGTTTAGGGTTTAGGGTTTAGGTTTCTTTTCTGCAGAGCCTTGTGGTCCCCTATAGTTGGGGTTTTGCGTACCCATGAACCCCTGACTCCACGCGCGGAGGATGTGGACACCCGAACGCCATCGCAGCTTCGCGACTTGAACGATCCGCGCCCAGCGACAGATCCTAATTCAGCACTCGTCCACATGTGGGCAGCTGCATTCCATTCATGGCTGGAAGCAGATCATGTGCATCTGAACCCCGAAAGCCCGCAATGCGAAGGGAAGTCTACCGCCCCAACCCAGCCCGAAATTCCTGAGATTCCGGCGCCAGTTGCGGAAACTTCTGCCTTCCGGTCTGGTGGAACATGATCACGTGATCTCCAATCTTGCCCGTGGGCATTTGCATCATGGAGTGGAAGGGAGGTCTGCAAGTACCAGGGCGGCACAGGGACCTGTAACGTTTTGGGCTTAACTAGGGTTTAGGGTTTAGGGCTTCGGGTGTAGGAGCTGACGCACAGTTCTCACTAGTATAGATGTGGTTGATTCGTGCGAAGACCGAGAAATCCCGCGTGCCCCGAAGCCGTGGTCAAAGAGTTGCAGCTTCCTTTTTTTGTATTTTATATTCCTGGCCAGTTTGCGGGCGCAGCTGCCAAAGAGTTTGCGAAAGCAATCCGAAGAAATTAGGTAGACTCGTGTCCCAAGACCCTAGCCTTAAACCCGAAACCTTGAAACAAATCCGGAGACATTAGGCAGATTGGAGTTAGGGTCCCCTTCTTCGCGAGGTGGCAGGCCGCTGTTGCGGGTTTAAGAGGGGCCCCCCAAAACCCTCAACACCTCCATAAAGGGCTTATGCAGAGAGGCCCCTTTCAGACGACAGCAAGCCATGTAGATACTTACTGACTCAAAACCCAACTTTTCAACTTTTGGGCTTCTTATGAGGTAGCTTATTCTGAAAGTTTCAACTTTCATTTCCTTGGGCTTTGCGCCAGTAATTATATCTTTACTTATAGAGAGGTATACCTCTGTTTCTTCATATATTCTCCATGTAGAAGAATCTCACAGCTGAAGACAGTTGTTTTCCGAAAGGTTGCCAGAATACGGATTGTGAGCTGCTGTTTTGGGGGGTTTATATAGGGTTTAGGGTTTAGGGTTTAGGGTTTAGGGTTTAGGGACCTCTGAACCGGACAGAGTCGTTGCCCCGGGTGAGAGGCAACTCTGTGGTGGCCAGCGCTGATGCATCAGTCTTAGGGTTTAGGGTTAGGGTTTGGCGTTTAGGGTTTAGGGTTGAGGGTTGAGGGTTGAGGGTTGGGTTTAGGGTGTCGGGTTAATCCTAAACCCTACAACCCAGTTTTGCGAAACAGCTAAGAAGTGGCTGTTATTCGCCGAAGTTTTGGAGCGGAGACGGCACGAGATGAGGAGCCAAGCATGTTAAGGCTTAGTTTTAGGGTTTAGGCTTCAAGGTAGAGGGTTTAGGGTTTAGGGTTTAGGGTTAAGGGTTTAGGGTTTGGGGTTTAGGGTTCGGGTAAGGTTTGATAGAGTTCGATCTGAACATGCCTTTGCTACTCTCTGCAACTCCGTCCTCTGCTCGAGGGCCGGTGGCCAGGGTCTGAAAGAGTTTCCTGCCACCTGGTGCTAATTCAGAAGTGCTCACTGCGAGCAGTGGCACGCCAGTTCGTCCCGACATGTGCGCGCGGCGAAGAGGTTCCATCATTTGTGCAGGAGTGGATTTTGAGAGCTGTGCTTCCCTCCACTCTACCAAACTCCTCGCCAGAACCCATGTTCCCAAAGGGTTTTCAGTGTAGGGTTGGGGGCTTGAGGGTTGAGGGTTTAGGCCCATTTTATTCTGTGGCGATTGCTAGATCCCTCAATGCCATTAGCAGCAAGAGCCGTCAAAAGCCAAAAGGCCTCGCAATCAAACCTACCTAGAACATTAAACCTTCAATGGCGAAGCCTCAAGCCGTCGCCCATCACAAGCCACAAAGATGGGTAACATCACACCATCGTCCGTACAGCTTGATTGCAAAGTCTTCACCACAATTAGTATCATCAGATTCAAATAATGCGAGTAAATCAAATGACTGAGCTTCATTGGATAATTCTCGAATCAGGGTCCCCTTCGTGGGTCCCTGTACATAAGAGAAGGACCCCCAAAGAAAGGGAGAGAACTACCCTAAAACCCTAAATCCTAAATCCTAAACCCCAAACCCTAAACCCTAAACCCTAAACCCCAAACCAGCCAGGGGCAACTTCTTGTGGCACCGGCACCCTGAGATGCTCCGGAGCAACGGCCAAGAGGTCTACGAAGCCACTCATGTAGGGTTTAGGGTTGAGGGTTTAGGGTTTAGGGTTTAGGGTTTAGGGTGGAGGGTTGAGGGTTTGGGGTTTGGGCTTTAGGGGTTTAGGGTTTAGGACTGAGGGTGTATGGGTTTAGGGGCTTAGGGATGAGGCGTGGCGCTTTAAGTTCCGGGAGTTCTTTTGGGGCTTCCAAGGGAGCCATCTAGGGCCTCTAGCTTCTTTTTCTGTAGACTCTAGGTTTTGTGTGCATATAAACATGTGGGGAGTTTTTCGGAAAATAGGGGACCGGTTTTGGGGGTCCCTTTAAAGGGCTTCTATTCGTATGAGCTGGGCACCCCTATTTTTGGGAAATGCCCATATATGAGCTCCGAGGAAATACGGAAACTGATGTTGTCGGTTTTTTTAGCTTAGAAGCGCGCGATGTGTCACGAGAAGGCTACATCCCCCGTGTGGAGGAGGTGACCCCTGAATCCTTCTTGGACATTGAATCCCAAATTCCACGATTCCCAATCCTTTGGCCTTTTTGTCCTCTGCCCTCGACCACATAGCTCGGTTACCATCCCACCCCATTGATATTCTGGCTCCTGCTCCTGGCTGCCACAAGCCTAAGCTGTGAACCTAAACCCTAGCCGCAATTCCTAAACCTCAAAAACACTAGCCCTACAAGCCTTAAACCAGAGCCCCTATACGTTGCACACCCCTAAATCCCAAACCCTAAAACGCCTCAACCCAAAACCCTAAACTCTTAAACCCCTAAACCCCATATCCTAAACCCCTAAAGCCTAAACCCTAAACCCCTAGTTAGCCCCCTAAAGCCCTCTGCCCAGCCCCTCAGCGCGCGGCTGATGCGGAGTGGGCTGGAGGCTGTTCTTGGTGAACTCGTCGCAACCGGTTTGGGGCTTGGGGCTTCTAAGGGTTTAGGGTTTACAGGTTTAGAGGTCTAGGATTTCGGGGTAGGGTTGCGCAGGGTTTGGGCTTGGGTCCAAGATGTTGTCTGCAGGGGTTTAGTTTGCAGGGGTTTAGACACTTTAACCCCCCCCCCCCCCGCCCCCCCAAAAAAAGGCACAATCCAACATAGCTGACTCGGCTAGTACAGGAGCCTGAACGTTACCAGTGTTGTCTCCGTACCTGCCTATTTATAATGCACAACTACAGATACCCGTTCTCGCGACACAGGCCCCTGTACTACACAAGCTACAGAGGTCAAATCGGCGGCATTTCCCCATGTTTGCTGGCAGACGTCAGAGTTGAACTCCCTTGTCCGACCTCGTCATCCTGGTCATCACCTGCAACTCATGAATTCAAACATTTGCAAGTTGTAACCCTTTATAGGGGTTTCTGACATTAGGGGTACCTTATTGGGGTCCGGATTATGAAGGGATCCTACTATTTGGGAATCTATATTGGGGGTCATCTCTATTTATATCTTATGCCGTTGGCCATGTCGACTGCCCTTAAACCGTACACCCCTACACCCCAAACCCTAGAGTTCGTGCACGTGCGAACCGCCAGCAGGTGCCCGCTGGCTGGTTCACGAAGCCACCCGGCTTCGCCGGGGCCTCCGGTTTTGGACTGTCTTTGAGGAGTCGTTTCAGGGTTCCTGGCGGTCTTTGAAGAGAGAGTAGGAGGGAGCCCTGAAGTTGCCCTAAAGCCCCCTAAGGAAGCCGTTCAAATCCCAAGCCCCAAAAGCCCGAAGCCCAGAAATCCAGAATAGTTGAGGGTCCAGAGTCTCGGCTGTGCGCCCTTTTTAACCCAGCCCTCCGTCCTGCGTGTTAAACCCCCCAGCCCTCCACTTGGGCTTAGGATTCAAGAGGTTCTAGGATTCACAGAGGGGTCATAGGGAGTTGTTGTGGGCCGAGGGAACTCTTGAGGGATGGTAGGACACTGCATAGTTAATGCAGAGTACTTGGGGGCACAGGGGCCACACATTAGGGTGCGGTGGCTGAGCCCCCTGAATATTGGGGGGGGGGGGGGGGCTATAGGCTAAGCCGAAACCCCACTCAATCAAGAGCGCCGACCTGGACCTGAGGTCGCGTAGACTGAGTGGCCAAGTACGCATAGTGCACCACGTGCAGTAGCTTCCAGTGGTGGCAGGTGCCTTTGTTCAACCCTTCTCTGCGCGGCGCTTATGAGCGGGAGATGGACCTGGGTTTCGGGGTTTCGGGGTTTAGGGGTTTCGGGGTTTCGGGGTTTAGGCTTTAGGGGTTTAGGGGTTTAGGGAAAGAAGCAGACGCAGCTGGGCACGGAAGCAACCATGCTGAATGTTTCAGTTGCCGGCTTGTTGATGGTGTCATGATGCAAACTTGCAGCTGCTATCGCAGTGAAGAAACAGCTTCGTATGGTCGAATGTCAGCACAAATCAGTAGCATGACCCTCCACCCTACAGGAGGCCCGAATCGTTTCAAACACCGCGCGCCGCCTGCTTCGGAGCGGCGGGCAGAGGCATTCAGAGCATTAGGGTCCCTAAACTGTATAAGCCCTAAGCCCTAAAACCTAAACCCTAGACCCTAAACCCTAAACATGGGTGAGGCAGGCTGTAGGCGGGTGGGTGGCCAGGCGAGGGTTTTGGGGCTTGGGGCTTCGGGGTTTTGGGCAGCTTTCGTGCCCGTCAAGCCGAGAAAGCAGTTCGCAGTGCTCTTTCTCCGTTGCAAAGCCCGAAAACCGGGGCAAATTGGGAGGGGCATGGCGAGGGGCGAGGCTGTGGGGAAGCTCTGATGCCTCACGGCCGAGGCCCAGGCGAATTTCTCACGGATCCCTGTGTTCCTATGATAAGACCCTAAACCCTAAACCCTAAACCCTAAAGAACACCAAGCACACTTCCTTCTAGGAGAGAAAAAGCTGGCCCTTTCTTCGCCGTTGCACCGAGTCCCAGTCTGGCCAAGGTTGAGCTTGGAGGACGGTTCACTGTTGGCTGTGCTGCGCATGTCGAATGGGCCCCGGCCCTACAACCGGAGTCGGAACAAGAGAATGTTCCAAGGGGGAGCGTTGTTGTTCAAGATCCCGCTTTAGCAAGCCGCAGGTTTTGCTTGTAAGGTTTAGGGCAAACAGCCCCGGTTCTGGAGAAAGTGTTTTATTGGAAGCTCTGGTCCTGCGGACGCAGGACTCGATGCAGTTGTTTGTTTGTACTCCTTAAACCCTATAAATCCGATAAACCCCGTATATTCTAGACCCTCTTTGTGATGGTTTAGGGTAGGTAAGGCTCCTGGCACCACCACAAACTTTGTCCGATGGTTGCTGGCAACTATTTCCGATGTGCATGACTACTTTGATTACTCATATGTTTACTCTCGTAGTCTGACCCCCCTCCCCACCTTCCCCCCTTCCCCCCAAACCCTAAACCCTAAACCCTAAACCCTAAACCCTAAACCCTAAACCCTAAACCCTAAACCCTAAACCCTAAACCCTTTCTGTTCCAAACGTGTGGAGCCCCAGGCCCGGATGCCCCAGCGTTCGGGTGTCCCGGGAGTCCAGCCACAGCCCCGGGATGGCGTGCAGTTGTGCCCAAAAAAACAAGCAATTGTGTATAGATAGATAGATATAGATATAGATATAGATATAGATATAGATATAGACATAGATATAGATATAGATATATATATATATATAGAGACCTATAGATATATATATATATATAGATATCCCAAAAGGTCCATGGTAGCTTACTATGACTTGCTTGGGCCCCAAAAGTCCCTAAAGAAAGGAAGTACTGCAAGGCCCAAGTATGCCCTATTTAGGTACATGGGACCCTTGGGGTACCCTTCAGACCCTGGATAAGCCAAAGAGGACCATGTAGGCCCCCTAGGGATGGTTATGGGGGTCCGAGGGCCACTTCAGCCCTTGTCCTGCCAGGCTTAGGACTTACAGAGGGTTTAGGGCTCTTCGAGTGGTGTGTTCTCTTTCGTTTGTTGTTTGAGGGCTAAACCCTAAACCCTAAACCTAAACCCAAAGCTTATGGGGGTGAGAGTTCTGAGCCTTCGTTTGGGTCTTGGCAGATTGAAAGGGGCTTCCAACACTGGCAGGGTTTGGAGTTGAGGATGTAGGGCTCAAAGATGTTTAGAATGTTTACAGGTTTGTTACTCTGGTGCGTTTGGGCCCTTGGGAGTCGCAGGTTCAGTGGCCCAAGTCGGATATTCGCGTAATTCGCATGCGTGCGTGTGTAAACAGAGCGGCTTCGACGCAAGCTCGCACGAACTGCCATGCCCAAACCATGGGCCTTGCAAGCTACTCGTACTGCCCCACGTGCGTAAGCAAAACGTGCGTGGCACACAGCGCAAGCTTCGAGGTTTCCCGAATGAGTGTCGGCTTGGAATCGAGTTCCGCTTGAGGAGTGACTCGTGTCGGTGCGGATCTTCGCCCTTGACCTGTGTGCATGACATGCGCAAATGAGCAAGCGACAAAACCCCCAGCCATTCAAGGAAGTAAGGGGTCGACACGGATGCCTAAAACCCTGTAAAGCGATGGGAACACTTGAAAAGCGACACCCCTAAGTTAATGAGCCGTTGGGTGTGCTATAGCCTTGATTTTCCCAAAGCGCCACCTGCAGACATCCAGCGTGGATGATTGATGCTAAGACCCTGCAAAACAATGGGAACACTTGAAAAGCGACACCCCTCATGTTGCGTCCATTAGCACCACCAGCCGGTTTTGTCAGTCGCTCAAGTGTCAATGAATGGAGCATTCAGTCGGCTGTGGCGGGTGTTGATTCTACCTAAAGCAGTGTCTGCGCAAGACAAGCTGCGCAGATGTGACGTTGCTCTTGGTGCGACCTGCGTTCCGACAGAGAGGACTTCGTAAGGGCCCAGCCCATCTCGATTTCCTTTCAACTACCAAACCCTGACATTTTCAGCGCCTGAACATCTTAAAGCCCTGAGCTTAACAAACCCTGTGAACTTGGCTCCCTTCCTGCAAGTAGCTCAGGGCTCGAGCTTACCTGCACGCGCTACACGTCGATGCAGGGTGCAGTGATATTGTATAAGGTGCCACAAGAAACAAGAAAGCCCTAAACCCTAAACCCTCAACCCTCAACCCTCAACCCTAAACCCTAAACCCTAAACCCTAAAGTGCAGGGCTTAGAATTTATCGCAGAAACGTTTGGGTCTCCGGGCACGAAGCCAGGCATGGACACGCGGATCTTCCACAACGCGCTCATCCTCGTCCTGCCCTGAGCCGTAAGGTCCCAAGTCGCGCGGAGGGTGTAGGGTTTAGGGTTTAGGGTTTAGGGTTTAGGGTTTAGGGTTTAGGGTTTAGGGTTTAGGGTTTAGGGTTCAGCAGGTTAGCAGGGCATAGCAGGGTTTGGGGTTTAGGGTTGGCCCCACGCCCCGAGAGCGTAAACCCGAAGTTCGACCACGTAAACTCCGAGTTGGTGATGGAGGTTTCGGGCCACCTCCCTGTCGCGAAACTTCAGGAGCACTGAAGATGGCGAACATGTTTCCCCGCAATTTTGTCGTTGGGAAGTCTTCTTCCCCACATTTGGTGGTTCGGAGCTTGTTAATACCTGGCCCACTTGCGCCGTCAGAGCTCTCGCAACATCCCTAAGCCCTAAACCCTTATGATAACCTCTTACAAACTCTAAGCCCTAAACCCTGATAGTTTCTGAGCTGGCTTGTATAAAGGCTAAACCCGAACTACCCAAAACTATCCTGACCCTAAACCCTAAAACCTAAACCGCCCTACACCAGAGCCTTACGGTCCTCACATGGGCACCCAAAAAGAAGAAGGCGCAACTGGACTCCGACCTCTCAGTGCAGAGCCATGTCGTCGTGGACGTGCCGGAACTGTTGGCACCCCGGTGACCTTACAGTAGGGTTTAGGGTTTCGCGTTCCGGTTCGGGGTTTCGGGTATGTATATATATATATATATATGTATATAGATGTATTGCAGGGCTCAAAAAAACTTCAGACGTAAGGGTATGCTCCTGCAAAATCTGCGGTTGGCCCCTGAGCTCGAAATAGTCCGCGATCCCACCAGAATCTCTAAATCCTCTGCCAGGAACCCATATCCCGAAACGAACGCCGAACCCTGCAAGGCCCTCAGGCCCTAAACCCTGGGCCCTGGAAACCAGAGATGAGCCACCGAGCCCTCGGTTGCTTAGGACGTGTCGCTTCACTCCCGACATGGAGGCTCCGAGCATGGTAGTGTTTAGACTCAGCAACTATATGCTTTTAGGGAAACGGAATCCGCGGGGGCGCGGTCGTCCCCCCCCCCCCCCCCCTGTAGTTCATTTTGGAGCTGGGGCCCGGTGTAGTCTGAACTAAAAGATGAGATGGAATCGCTCGCGATGGGGGCGAACCCCCCCCCCACCCCCCGGTTCCGTTTCCGAGCAACGCTAGGTTTGGGAAGATTTCGGTTTTAGGGTGGGGATGGAAACGCCTGTGAAAGAAGCCCTCTAATGCGACCTTTCTAGGATGCCAAGAGCGTGGACCCCTTCACAGCCCTAACGTCCAAGTCCAGCTCAATGCTTTACGGTTTAGGGCACAGGTTTAGGCGCCGTTTTCAAGCAGGGTAATCACAAATATAGGTGTCAGTGTTCAAGAAGGGTGTTTATACCAAGAGCCCCTTCCTGGCTTGTCCTCCCGAAGGTCAGCGGGCGCCTCTTTCTCGACGAGGTGGCTTTCCCGAACTCTACAAGCCCCAGGGGGATTCCTAGGAATCTGCCCCTCGGACAGGTACATGGCCCGATGGACGCGCGCCGGGGCCTCAGGTTTCGGGGGTTGCAATGGCTTTGGGTGTAGAGGGTTTTGGGTTCTGGGTCAGAATCTCCATGAAAAGTCTTTGCCGATTTTTTGTTTTTTTCTTTTAAAGGGGGGTTCCCGTTTATAGGGAGCGGGGACCCTCGGCCTCTTCCAGCTAGTCTCGTAATCTCGTAGACTACTGATTGCTTAAGGACCCCCCGACAAATGGAAAATATTCGTCCTCATAAGGGTAATATAGGAATTGTTTTTTTGTTTATTCTTTGGGGTTCTTAAGCAAATAGTAGACGCCCAACTAGTGCGCTTGTTCCCTTTTTTGGGGGGGTTTCTTTTCCCTTATAGACCCTTTAAGCCAAAAAGGGCGCCCTTTTACTGGGCGACCTAGTGAAGGGCAGACCCTAAAGCCTGAACCCTAAACCCTAAACCCTAAACCCTAAACCCTAGACCCTAGACCCTAGACCCTAAACCCAAAACCCTAAACCCTAAACCCTAAACCCTAAACCCTAAACCCTAAACCCTAAACCCTAAACCCTAAACCCTAAACCCTAAACCCTAAACCCTAAACCCTTACCTTTCAGGCATCGGCCAAGGCGTCGATGGTGAGATGTGGCTTGGCATGCCAGACAGCTTTTTTGGATGTCGGAAGTTGGGATGTTCCCCGCTTATACTAGCAGTTTAGGGTTTAGGGTTTAGGGTTTAGGGTTTAGGGTTTAGGGTGGCGTTAACTTAGGAGCTGAGTGAGTACACTTTGTACATTTTTTGTGATACTATAATACGCTATAGAACTGAAAGTGTACACTTTTTTGGGGGGTTTCTGAACTCGGCAACTATTGAAGGGCTTTAGGACTTCAAAGTTTAAAGGGGAGTTCGGGCTCGCCTGCGCATCGTGGACTGCTGGACCCTGCCAAGTTCTATGCAACCATAGATCAATAGTGCTTTCCCGGTATACACCCACAATGTAAGTATAGCCCTGAGTCTATGAACCCAAACAACACACTAAGCCATCTTAAAGCCCTGAAGCCCTGAGCACAGACGCCAGACCAGGTGGATCTTCTTCTACGCCGAGCGAAACGGAGCCAACAAAGAGGCGCCAGCCCTCCCAGAGACACCAAGACCACGGCGAGCCCCTGCACCCGAAGACCCCCAACCCTAAACCCTAAACCGGAAACCCTAAACCCTAAACCCTAAACTTTTATCCTAGACCCTAAATCTCCAAACATTTCGCTTCTGGGACGACAGGGCCTAGGTCCTCTGTGTCTGCAGAGGCTTCCCGAACTCCAGGTAGGGTTTGGGGATGTTTGGGGCTCGGGTTTAGGGTTTCGGGTTTAGGGTTTAGGGTTTAGGGTTTGGGGATGTTTGGGGCTCGGGGAACGTTGGGGACTTGTCATCCAGTGAAATTGTAACCCAGTTAAAAGATTTAGGGTTTAGGGTTTAGGGTTTAGGGTTTGAGGTCTGCAGTTCGGGGAACGTTGGGGACTCTGTTTGGGTTCGAAGTGTCTAACTTGCATTGAGTTTGTAATTAGTATCCTGCAAGTAAAAATGCCAGGGCATCGCCGCACACCCACCTCTGGTGATCTCAAAGCTTCCGGGTTTAGGGTCTAGGGTTTAGGGTTTAGGGTTTAGGGTTTAGAGCTTAGGGTTTAGAGCTCAGGGTTTAGAGCTTAGGGTTTAGAGCTTAGGGTTTAGGGTCTTCGTCTTAAGCCCCAAAGCCTCAACCCTCAACATCTTACTCGTCTCGAGGCCCTGCGTGGCATGCACGCGGCGCCGCTGCGCGTGAGCTGGCGAGACTGCGAAGGAGCAGGCCTGAGCGGGTTCATGTGGGCCGTTGGGGTTTAGGGTTTAGGGCTGATATATATATATATATATGTATTTAGTTTTTTAGTTAGTTAGTTAGTTAGTTAGTTAGTTATATATATATATATATACATATATGTATATTTATATTGTCTAGAGTTTAAAGTTGAGGGGGACCTCAAAGAGTGCTTGCTCCCTAGCTTAAAACCGCAACCTTCAGCAGCCACGGCCCTTGACCCGCCCCAGGCTGGTCTCTCCATGCAACCGGCGTGGCTGGGATGCACTTGGTGACACGCGGCCCTCGACGCCAAACTCTAACCTCTGCAACCCTAAGGGTCCATGTACCATGCTTGGGCCCAAAGTCCCTATCTAGGAAGTACTTTCAGGCCCAAGTATTCCCTATTTGCTAGGGTAGCCCCCTAAACCCCAAAACCCTGAAACAGCGCCCTGAATGGTCCTGGAACCCTCCTGGCGAGTGCACAAACCCTGCAACCTATCTCTCCGCGGCTGCCAGGGAAGTTAGGGAGTTTCGGAACCTAGGGTTGCGGCTTTAGGGTCTGGATCGTTTGGGTTCAGGGTGCTTTGGGGCTTGAGGTTTAGGGTCTTTTGAATCTTGGGACTGCTGGTGGCTGCAGAGGTCTTCTCATCAGATGACTGCGCCTGGAAAGGCGCCCAGCTGTGCTCGAGAATGGGGTTCCCCCCGTGCAACTCGAAGCCCCCAACTGAACCCCATGCACAGTCAGATGCGCAAATTGGAAACCGCTGGAGACTTGGGGGTTGCACAGCTTGCAGTGAATGCTCGCCTTCCGAAGCGCACGGATGTGAGACCCGTAGTTCGAAATCAGGACGTTGCGACGCTGCCTCGTCAGTAGGTGTATAAGCTGCCTTAGCCGGCGCATTTGCAGGATCCGGGAACGGCAGCTCTATCCAGAGCTGCAGGGACTCCTGCGATGCTGCGGGGGCCTCAGCCACCAGGGGTACAACAGGAGCCGATGACCATGGCCGCTGGTATCTTGGAAGTCCAGTGCTACTTGTGGTCAAGGCTCCCTTCTAAAGTAGCCGACCCCCAAAGCGGGTACCCTGATGATAATGTGGTTCCTGGGCTACCAAGGTATCCCCTTCGCATACGGATGTGGGAAGTACCCAAGGGCCATCAGCCCAAAACCCTAAACCCCAAACCCTAATTACACTCTAAACCCTAAACCCTAAACCCTAAACCCTAAACCCTAAACCCTAAACCCTAAACCCTAAACCCTAGCGCTCTAAACTCGCCGGTGATCCCAAGCAGGCACAGGGCTGCAACGCCGTCAGCTTCCGCCCAGGGGATCCAGGAGAGTCCGGGTTGAAGTGCATGACCACGATGGGGCTGTTAGACCCTGTAACAGGGTTTAGGGTTTTGGGTTTGGGGTTTAGGGTTTAGGGTTTAGGGTTTAGGGTTTGGGGTTTAGGGTTTAGGGTTCAGGCTGTTAGACCCTAAAGGGTTTCTGGTTCATATACCATAATAGGGATTATAGGTACTATAGGGGTAGATGACCCTTGTTTTTCTTAGGGTTCATGTGGTCCCTAAAGGCCCTAGAGAAGCTCATCCCAAAATGTCGTGGCTTAGGGTTGAGGGCCTAGGGTGGTGCCCTTGTCGTGGCCCCCAAGAGACCATGAGGTGTCCGAACCGGGATATGTGCACGCCACCTTTCACCCAGCCTTCGGGAAGTCCGGGTCGGAAACAGGACACCACCCACCCCCTCCTTCCTTCCTTCCGAGGCATCAGGGTCCAGAGGGTACCCGCGCGGGCCAAAAACAGAGTCGCTGTGACCCTGCAGCCAAATGAACAACAAGAAACAACCTACGGTGAGACGGGAAACCAAAGGCGCCGACCCCCACCCTCAGGAAGAGGGGAGCGAGTGGTGTAAAGCGGCAAGCTGTACATTCCCGGCGTGAAGAGCCAGAAGGCCGCGTCTCAGCTCGGACAGGAAGGCAACCAGGGCGCCGGGCCTCGAAGAGACCAAAACCAAGTTGCGACCTTCCCAGCGGACGTCGTGTAGCACCACCCTCTCATCAGCTGCGGCGAACACTGTGCGGATCGCCTGGGAAACACGCCCAAACCACCACAAGGCTCCCGTGCCCTGCAAAGAAGCGAGCAGGAGAAACAGAGTGTTGGTGGCTCGGAGGAAACGTGATGAGGACTCGCCGTCCTCCCATATGCTGCGCGCCCAAGATCAGTCGGCCCCGTGAAAAGGCAGCAAATGACCAGGGGAGCGCAGTGAATAGCCAGGTGACGGCCAAGCAAGTGGCAGCGTAACCCAATAAGGGATGAAAAATCCCCGGTGGCGGATCCAGATCCCAACCACCAGCCAGCAATTTGATCCAGGACCAGTGCCAGCAATTCAGGGCCCCGCGACCCTCAAAGTCAGCGCGGGCCGGCCGCGCAAACCAACAGTACCGGACCCAAGCCCGGTATATGGCGGCAGGAACTAGGCCTGCCTGGGGTCTGGCTGTTGCAGATCCGCAGGCGCTGCTACGAGCAGAGGCTACGGAAAAACACAATCTAAGCCGAAACGCCTACCCACCCCCTCCCCCTAAACCCTAAACCCTTAACCCTAAACCCTAAACCCTAAACCGGCGACTCAAAGTGGTTTTCGGAGTTTTGGGGGCCTAGAACATCCCCCGAACCACCCGCACACTGGGGCCTGTCGACCCAACATTCCCAGAGGCTCCAAAACCCCTTATTTCAGGACTAGACCCTAAATCATATTAGGGTTCCTATTCTAATTGAAGGGATATCAGAATTAAGGGATATCCCTCATAATTTATATCAGGGATATTCCTTGAGGGGTTTTGGAGCCCCTGGGTTCCCCGAGCCTCTGCCAAGAGGAAGCAGCCCCGGGGGCCGCTGCGAGCTGCGGGGCTGCTTTGAAGGAAGCCCGGGGGGCCGCCAGGGCACTCTTATTCTACATCCCCCTTGTGATTTTTTGTAATTTTTTGTTTGTATAAAAACCCAAGAGGAAATTAACAATAGTATTTTTATTGAGGTTCTCAGGGGAGTATAGTATTAGGGCTTGGAGGATGGAGGATACTTTTGAGGGCTTGAAGGACTTCAAGCTTACTGCAACGTGTGGTGAACGGTTTTGGCTTGGGCAAGTCTTGATGCCCCAAGTTTCAGGGGGACGTGAGAGCTTCTGGGGCCTAGGGTTGGGGAGGTTAAAGTTTTATAGAGCTGAGGATGCTTTAGGGTTAGTACCCCAGCGGTGGGCTCAACTTTAAGCCCTAGAAGCCCTTTTCCCAGGCCCAGGCAACATGGCTCAACAGGCCCAGGCAACATGGCTCAACAGGCCCAGCCTAAGCCCCTGAAGCAATCAAGCTCCCAACCTCTAGACCCCTAGTTTTAACCCAAAGTCCCATACGCCCCTCAGCCTAACCCCCCTAAACCCTAAGCCCTAATCCCTAAACCCTGAACCCCTAAACTCCTAAACCCCTGAACCCCTGAACCCTAAAAATTTCAGACCGGAAGAGACCGCAGGCTCGGCGGGCAGCAGGAGCCCTGCGGCCTTTCGGCCTGCAAAACTGGGCTTCTAGGGTTTAGGGTTTAGGGTTTAGGGTTTAGGGGGGTTAGGCTGAGGGGTTTCTAGTAGGCTTTCTTAGGGGCTCCTAGTAGGCTTTCTCAGGGGCTTCTAGTAGGCTTTCCTGCGGTTTCTAGGGACTCAGGGATTCTAGGGATTCTAGGGCTTCAAGGAATTGGAGGGTTTCGAGGGGCTCTTGAGTTTCTGGGGGTTCTCATTTTGTTTCTAGAGTTTCTGGGGTTACTTGAAGTTCTAGAAATTCTTGGGTTTCTAGGTGCTTCAAGTTAGGTGTTCTAGCGCTTCTTGGCGCTTCTAGGGTTTCTAGATGTTTAGGATTTAGGGCTTAGGGTTTAGGGTTTAGGGTTTAGGGGCTTCCAGGATTTCCAGGGTTTCGGGAGCGCAGGTGCCGGGACGAGATATGAGTCTTCTGTCATCTCCAAGTCTTTGGCCCCTAAACCCTAGGTCTCACGCAGACCTCATGCTGGACTCCACCATTTTGGTGAGGTCTCTATATTATGGTCCCCTTGTCAGGTACCCTAAATCAAAGAGACCAAAAGCGCATATTGTGATGTGGTTACCAAGGCCGTATAACAGCAACCCTGAACCCTATAAACCCTCTAAACCCTCTAAATTTGAACACTATAGGCCCTATAGAGCTTATAAACCCTAAAAGCCCTATAAACCCAGATATAAACCGTATAAACCCTATCAACCCTATAAACCTCATAACCCAAAAAACCTTTAAACAAAAAACTGTAAACCCTATAAACCCTTTAAACCCTATAAACCCTATGAACCCTAAACCACTAAAACAGGGGACCCCGAAGTTAGAGCAATTAAACCCTAAACCCTGAACCCCAAACCCTAAACCCGAAACCCTAAACCCTAAGTGCCCTCAACCGAGGTCATGCCAATGCCCGCCTGGCAAGCCTGGTTGCGGAAGCCCCAGGCCTCCGCCCACCTTGGGATTTAGGGTTTATATAGGGTTTAGGGTTTACGGTTTACGGTTTAGTGATTAGGGTTTAGGGCCTAGGGTCTAGGGTTTAGGGTTTAGGTTTGGGACTTAGGGCGTTAAGGGTTTCAAGGTTTACCCAAATGCTCCTATGTAGTTCCTTTTTGGGTTAGCTATAGGGGATTCTAGTACTATTGCCCCAAAAAGGTACTACCTAGGTTTAAGGCTTAGGGCTTAGGGTTCAGGGTTTAGGTTTGGGGGATAGAGGTTGTTTACGGGTTGAGGGGTTTTAAGGGGTTTTGTGACTTGGGCTTGGGGTTTCAAGGTTTAGGCGTTCAGGGCTTGAAGGCCTAGTTTGCCACCTTCCGCTTCAAAAGCTCCTTACAGCCGAAAGCCCTCCAAAACCGGAGCCTAAGCCTGAAACCTCCTCTGGGGGTTTGGGGTACAGGGTTTCAAGGTTTAAGGGTTTGAGGGCTTGAGGGTTTGAGGGTTTGAGGGTTTGAGGGTTTGAGGGTTTAAGGGTTTAAGGATTTACGGGTTTAAGGGTTTAAGGATTTACGGGTTTAAGGGTTTAAGGGCTTAAGGGTTTAAGGGTTTAAGCGTTTAAGGGTTTAAGTGTTTAAGTGTTTAAGGGTTTAAGGGTTTAAGGGTTTAAGGGTTTAAGGGTTTAAGGGTTTAAGGGTTTAAGGGTTTCAGGGTTTGAGGGTTTGAGGGTTTGAGGGTTTAAGGGTTTAACGGTTTTGGGTCCCTCGTTGCTGGGGTTGTAGGTTCGGCTTGACATCTATGGATTCTGCGTTTTGGGACTCCCAGCCCGGCTTTGAATTGCAGAAGACTTTTAAGAACGATGACTCCGAAGGGGAGGCTTAGGGTTTAGGGTTTAGGGTTTAGGGTTTAGGGTTTAGGGTTTAGGGTTTAGGTTAGCCGGCAGTCCAAACCTTTAGGGTCCGACGCTCCTTGCGCCATGCAAGCGCAGCGTCAGGCTTCAAGGTTCAGCCGCCTGGCCCCGGTAGGTGCCTGTAAACCCTACAGCGCTCCAAAGCCCCTGCAGTCCGAATATGAACCCTAAACCCTAAACCCTAAACCCTAAACCCTAAACCCTAAACCCTAAACCCTAAACCCTAAACCCTAAACCCTAAACCCTAAACCCTAAACCCTAAACCCTAAACCCTAAACCCTAACCTTCATCTCAACAAGACGAATGGATAGCACCGTGAGTACTCACATAAGAACAACAGCCGCAACAAGCATCCCCCCTCAAGGAACGACACTAGTAAGTCACTAGTAAGTGGCAAGCTGCAGGAGCGGCACTGGCAGCGCCCGTGCCTGAATCAGTGCAGCATGTGCGGTTTGACCCTTGCCCTGCGTTTGCGTTTTAGGTTTTTGGATCTTGCAAGGTACTTTTGTGTGGATGTCGTTTATGTTTTCGGTGCCCAACCCACAAAGTCATTCTAAATATATCTGCGGAGCAGTCGATGTGCTAAGGAGTAAGCTTGATGTGCTTTCTGGATCCCGAGGAACTCCCCATGTTGGACCCTAGTCCCCTACATGACTACACCTCAAACATCATGCAAAAATCCCCAAATCCTGATGTCTGACTCTTGATTTTGCACTATGCGATTGAGGCTCGGCAACGTGTTCCGGCGGCTGGCAGGGTCTCGGCCGGGGACCCAGCGGAGCTGCGTAAGTGCATTCTAAGTTCTAAAAGCAAATTGAGGCTTAGGGACCTAACGAATCCAATGTTCAGAGTGCAGCAGGTAAATTACCTGTCATGCAATCTCGGATGAGGCAATCTACAACGGGCAAGATAGTTTCTGAAGGAGATCCGCTATTCGTCGGTATCCGCAACTGCAACCCAAACAGCACCAGGACAACGGTGAACAGTGCTGCGGTTATAGTGTTGGTTACATCTTCTTCATTACTGAATACTTATCACGCTGCTCTTCAGGATGCCATTGCAAAGAGTCATCATCTTCCTAGCAAAGTCGAAAGCAGCCATGTAGCTTCTCGAGAGCAAGGTGACGCTACAAGCCTGGCTGGATGCAAGCAGAGCTGCCAGGCTGGGTCAACAGGGTTTAGGGTTTAGGGTTTAGGGTTTAGGGTTTAGGGTTTAGGGTTTAGGGTCAACTTTTGGAACGATTGAGCCCCAGGTTGATTCAGTCGAAAACTGAGTGTTCGAGGGTTGCCGGGTTGCCCGGTGAGCCCTAAACCTGAAAACCCTAAACCCTAAACCCTGAACCCTATAACCATCCCTACACTCTTTAGTACCAAAAGGATCTGACATGTAGGCTGTGGCACTTCAGGGGTTGCGGGCTGGGTGTAGATCCCCGTGCTGAGGACCCAGAGTATAGGCCCTTACTCACCTTTTTCAGGTTTAGGTTCCCTTATACGCCCGTTCAGGCTGGTTCGAACTAAAGCGGCACCCTTTCCATTCCTGTGTTGCTCTTTGGGGCTACCCAAAGGCTCCAATGTAGTTCCTTGTTGGGTTGGTTATAGGGGGTTCTAGTACACTACCCCAAAAAAAACAGGTACTAACATAGGAGCCTTTGGGTAGCTCAGCCACTAAGACAGGAGCTCGGGTCTTGCGACACCATCCTTTTCTCGCTGGGGGCCCTGACAGTCGAGCCCCGCCGGTAGGGTTGGCTTGGGGTGTAGGGTTTAGGGTTTTGGGTTTAGGGTTTAGGGTTTAGGGTTTAGGGGAAGTTTGCTTAGACCGAATTCCCATGCCTCAGGATGTCAGAGTAGGCCTTGAACCAGGCAGCATTTGTGGTACCCAGTTTCCCATCTCGACATAGACTTTGTTGGGCACAATGATATGTAGATGTGTGTATATGTATATATATGTATATAAATACAGTTTTTTTGACATTTATTTATAGTATGTGCTTGTCAGGCATTGGCCTATTTTGTATCGACATTTTTGCATATGTACATATACACATACATACAGATGTATATATATATATAAATCACATACATAATTACAGATGTTTGTATATATGTATATACATACACACATATATGTATACATATATATATATATATATATGTGAAGCCCCCCCCCCACCCCCACTCATGTATCCGCGTTTCGTGTGTTTAGAGCTACAGTGACAAGGAGATTGATACCAAACATTAGGAAGACCAAAGACGACGAAGGAGACAGGAGTTGCTAACGGGTGCACTGATGTTGCGGGCAGGCAGATGTGCAAAAAGTTCATTTGTTTGTCAATTTTTGTTCGCAGCAACGTGTGGCGAGGCTTGGAGCTCAGTTCTATTCATTCAACTACTTCTACTATAGTTGCCGACAAGTTAGTGTTAGGCGCCATGAAACCGCAAGGCTGTCCTTCATTCTCTTCCAATCGCCCCGGCCTCTCTGTTGTTTGTGTTGTTTGTTGGTTTTGGTCTTGTGTTTTTGTCTACAATTTCGTTGTTGGTTTTTGTTTCTGCAGTTTCTTTGGTTTAGTGTGGTTTTGCTTTGTTTGATTTCTGTTTAAGGGAATGTCTTCCATTTTGTTGTGTGTTGCGTTTTTTTGTTGGTCAGTTTTTCTTTAGTTGTTGGTTCCGGCTTTGAGGGCATTATGTCCGCAACTTGATTTTTCCCCCACCCTCGGCGTTGTTTTTGTTAGACTGTACGGCAACCATTCTCTTCGCATCCTCGCCCAGTCTCCCGTCCTGGTCCCTGGCGTGCCCACCCCGGAGAAGCCCACGTGCCCATGCCCAGAGAAGTCCGCAGAGAGTCCTGGCCGAGTATCCCTGGAGTGCACACTTCAGAGAAGCCCGCACAGAGTCCCGAGGTTTAGGGTTTAGCGTTTAGGGTTTAGGGTTTAGGGTTTAGCGTATCCTTGGAACGTCCACCTGCACAGAATTCCAGCCCCGCGACAGGAGCCTGTGGCGAAGTTCCTGTCCGAGAACGGCAGGATGGCTCCCACATGGGTTAGCGTGCGTGTGGATGATCGGAGTAAACAATTTCGCTTTTGGTTTTGATCGCTCCCTCGCTCACTCATGTACTCATTCACTCACTCGTTCACTCACTCGTTCATTTATTCATTCATTCATGCATGCATTCATTCATGCATATCAACCGGTAGACTGGTAGACCAATGCTAAGGCCTAGGCCCCGAAGCCCTGAGCCCTGCATCGGCTCAAGGTTGTGGGGGTTTAGGGTTTAGGGTTTGGAGCAGATTTCGGGTTTTGGGATCATGTTTGTGCTACCCCAACATCCTCCAAGACCTTGTCAAGCTTACTATGCAAAACCAAGACTGCTGCCATACTCCCCCTAGAGCTGTGATGACCCTAAGCCCTAATCCGTACCCCCCCAAACCCATTTCATTGTACGTTCTGTTCTCCAAGGTCAGCCATAGGTCTTTGCGCCCTACAGCGCTGTGGGGAGCCAGGCAAAGAAGTATCCGAAGGCAGGAATGCAGGGTTTAGGTCTTGGTTCCTTGCTGGGAGGTTGCGGTTGGGGATTTAGGCGACTTAGGTCAGTCAAGCGCATCCATATCTCCTGCTACACCCTTCGGGTCGTAGCCCCGCACCTTGCATCGTATGTAGACTGTGGGTCTCCTGGGCTCCTGAGGTTCTCGCGCGACAGCTCGCTACAGCTAGCTTATGCAAATGTTTGGACAAGTGTGGGCTGTCAGGGTACCAGCAGCCTTAGTTGGCACGAGTTTTCAGGCTTGGGTCGTGGGAGGGGGAGAGGGTGCACTTGCACTGGAATACCCTCTCCTATACTGCAGCGGGCTTCCTGCTCGTGCGCCTCATGCCTGCCTCTTTCTGCCGCCCGCGCGGCTTCCTCTGTCCCGCTTGCCCTCTGACTTGGAGGCCTTCCCGGATTTCTCCGAGCGCTGGCCTTCCTACTCAGCCTTCCCCAGCAAGATGTCGTCCTGCTGGCCACTTCTGTGCGTGTGTGTGTGTGTGTGCGCGCGCTTCTTCCCATGCTATAGCCTTCATTTGGGCGCCGTGCCATATCCTCACCTTTTGAGACGGACGAGGTGATCACAACAACTTCGGTGAATGATGCTGTTTTGTGTGATGTCCTATGAAAACCTCCAATATCCGTGAACTGTCAAAGCGTCTCCGGAAGCCCTCCGCGCGATGCGACATCTCCGGCATGGGTTTCCGTGATGCCCGTTCATTTTGTCAGCTTGGTGTCTGGAGGTTAGTCTGTTGGAGGCTCCCTTTTGGGGAATCCGTGCGCAAGCACGGTGGTGCCAAGGGGGTTCCCCGACTTCATGGACTTTCTCATGTCCAAGAGCGTACAGTACCAGCAGGGCCCGTTTGTTGGGCTACTGGCCTTCTGAGCCCCTTTGTTCCCACAGGGAGCGATGCTGTGTGCATCCCAACAGCCAACCGCCTGATCAGCGAAGAGACTGCTGGCTCACAGAGACTGGACCTGTTGCACAACAGCTTCGTGCCATAGAATGTAATGAGTGATTGCCCACGCCAGGCAGATCAAGCAGGCCAAAGTGAATGAGAGGTTCCTGCAGCACGGTTACGAACACATGTACGGACACACCGCTTGCAAACGTTCGTGGTGTGCAGCTTCCAGAACTTGCAGCCCGAGCCCTACATACGCCCTTCGTGCAAAGACTACGTATGCAAAAGCTCGCAGCTTTTCCGTAATCCACAAGACTAAGCCGACAATGCCACATGCAAAAACCTCTCGGTCCCAAGGGACGCCCACAGACATCCTGTAGGCCACACGGCTGAGCTACAAAGTACCTGGCCGCAAATCATACATTAGAGCCTCCCTTACCTGCAACAACCAACGCCTAAAGCGACATAGGAGTAACTCGTCCGCATTCCTTTCTCATCCTCTTCTACGATGAAATCATGGCCCTCAACTCGAAACGCCAAACCCTACACCCCCGACCCCGAAACCCTAAACCCTAAGCCCTAAACCCTAAACCCTAAACCCTAAACCCTAAACCCTAAACCCTAAACCCTACACCCTTTCCGTTTCTGTTTGGTGTGCAGGGTTGGAAACTCGAAGGTTGGGAAGCTTGGCGCAGGGTGGAAGTGCCGGCAGGCCGACGTGCGATTTTCCATCGGCTTTCCGGTTCAGAGTATAAGGATCCTGAGTAGAAGGGTTTAGGGTTTAGGGTGTAGGGTTTAGGAGTTTATTGTTTAGGGTTTACTGTTTAGGGTTTAAAAGGGTTCAGAGATTAAGGGTCTTTTTTTAGGGTGTTTGCCAGTTTCGGATGGCAGTCGCAACATGAGCCATCACGATTCATTGGGTTTGTTTCGCGGGCAACATCAATTCTATTCTTACCTTTGCGACTTTGTGTGGTTGATTTGTTTGTTTAATATGTTTGGCTTAGGGTTGTTGATTTTGGAATTGAAGGCTTTGTAGGCTGAGCATTTTAGGCGTGATTAATCACGTCAGCGACGGCGAGAGTGCAAGATTTGGACTTCGTGATTATGGCAACAGCACGTTGCAGCGATAATTCACACCCTAAACCCTAAACCCTAAACCCTAAGCATGGTTCAAGCATCCTGTCAAGCAATGGGACTTGCCCCCCCCCCCCCCCGCTTCAAGAAATCGACTTCCAGCCCTAAACCCTGAACCCTAAACCCTAAACACCCTAAAACCTAAACCCTAAACCCTGAACCCTGAACCCTGAACCCTAAACCAGGCAGAAAGTGTTTGGAAAGCGCCCGGCTGCAGGCGCGGAGTGGGTGCGAAGACACTCTGCAACCGTGTGGTGAACCATTCTTGGGAGCCCAGTGGTAGCCCTTACCCTTTTTTGGGGTTCTGGGTTCCCTCATAAGTAACCAACCAAAAAAAGAGTGCCCTTGTATAATATGTTTGCTTGCCAGCCTAAGATGAAGAAGTTTTTTTTCTGCAAAAACCTGCCCAGAGGACGAGGATTCTGGGCCTTGCTTCCAAGCAGCCCATGAGCACCACGAGCCTGAACACAGACATCCTAAACCCTAAGCCCTAAGCCCTATACCTGAACCCTGAATTGCAATTGCGGTTTTGGGTTTTGTGGTGTCGATTTTCAGGTTCTAGCCGCAAACTCGATCCCCTTCCTGGACAGAGAAACAGCTTTTGAAAAGCTCCTTTTTGTGGGTGGGTAATTAGAATAGGGTTTCGGGGTTATTATAGTATAATGTTAAAGGGACCATAACGGAATACAAATTTGTAATTATTCCGTCCCCTATATTGGGTGGGTGGGGGGGTGTGGGGGGTGAGTAGAGAAGCATTTCGTATCCGACTAGCTTGCAGGGATTAGGGGAGGCAGGCAAGGCCTAAAACTCAAACGATCCGAAACAGTTTGTCGGATTTGCCCAGGAAATAGGGCGATTTGGGAAGGTCTCCCAGTTTTGAGGCTTTTGCTTTGGGAGGATCTCACCGTAACCCTGAAATGGCCAGTCCTTTATGTCAAACTACGGCCGCTTAGAAACGTTCCCACAGAGGGGCCCAGCTCTCCTTGAACTGATGCCAGGAAGATGAGCTGATCGTCTTCCCCTCCATGTCAGCCGTCGTCCACCTGCCTCGCTTGAGGGCTTGCACCTTCGAAGCTTTGAAGTTTGGAGGGTGTGGAACCCTAAACCCTAAACCCTAAACCCTAAACCCTAAACCCTAAACCCTAAACCCTAAACCCTAAACCCTAAACCCTAAACCCTAAACCCTAAACCCTAAACCCTAAACCCCAATCTCAGGATTGCGTGGGCATCCCTAAAGCTCCCCCTTAAGCGCCCTAGCCATTTTTGCCCCTACAAGTTCTCTTCTCTTCTGTTACGATGAGATCCCAGAAGCAGCTCAGTCTGAAGTGAAGGGTATCTCCATCTTGCTCCGACGCCTGCATCGCAGAATGGATTTCCGGAGTTGCACACGGAATGAGTCGTCTTATGAACCTCTCACTGTTCTGCGGCACTGCAGCGCAACTCGAATCGTCTTAGCTCCGTAAACCGGCTGCATCTAAGAAGTTATCTTGCCTTGCCGGTTTGAAAAATGAAGAGATTCGGGAGCATTGGAACGCAGCTGTCACGAGCAGGAGAAGAACTGGAACCTCATCTACGGCGACCGTGACCGCCTGATCATCGAGTACTTCATCGAGCCACACATCGTGCCCTGCGCCAAGTCCTGCCAGCAAAAGGTTGATTGGCATGCCTCACTCTACGTCCACATGTCACCGTCCTTGTTATGCACATAGTCTGGAACCACTCCGAATCCAACCCCACTATTGAAAGACTCCCCAGTCGCGCCCCTGATCCACAGCAAGCCCTAGAGACGAAATGTGCAAGCCCACGAAATCCGAAACCCCAAAGTCCTCAGCCCAAACCCACCTAAGCTATTCCCCCCCCCCCCAAAGAAAAAAACACGATAACAATAAAACGAAACCCTAAACCCTAAGAAAGCAGAAGGATTGAAGCCAAGCTCACGCGGACTCCGGGTGAGCCATCAGGCCCCAGAGCGAGCTTTCGAACTGCGGGGCGGTGTCTTCGGTTTGAATCGGTACATCGCAGTTTGGGAGAGCCCGCGGGGGGTAGGGGGGTGGCCGGGGAGTACCCTCTATACACAATTTACATATATATATATATATATATATATAGATATGTATATACATATATAGCGCAAAGACAGATAGATATGAATATGTACAGGTTTCCATGGTCTTATATGGTTTAGTTGTACAGAGGCAAACAACGGAAACCACTGGTCTTTTGCAGCATGTGCATAGAGTCGCGGAGTCAAGAAAAGTGTGGGTTGCATAGGCTAATCATGTCGAGGTTGCTCCTAGGGGTGGTACCACAGAAATGAGCAAACAAATACACCAGCAAAATGATGATTGTATATATATATATAGATATACATATGCCAATCTAACTTGCAGGGGTTCATGCCTCAAAGACACAAGCGAACAGGACAAGTCGCACGCAGTGAGTTTTATAGATGCCCATGGAAGTCTCATGGACATTAGTGTGCGGTAACCGTTCGAGGCGAGTGTTCAAGCAGGGGGGGGTCTCTAGCCCAGTCTTTCCCAGACAAGAGCAGAAAGGCCACCCGAAAAAAAGACACAGCACAGCCAGGGAGCCGTGCAAAGTGCTAGGAAAAGAGCGCTCCCGAGCACAGTGCACCTTTCCCAAATTCATTCCAGGCGTTAGGCGATGGCTGTCCGAGGTGAGTGTTTCGGCCGGGAGGTCTCGAACCCAACAGCATAGCAGGTGGCCGTGCCTGGAAACACAAGAAACACAAGTAGCATTCCACGTAACCGTGCCATCGGAAGCAATCCTCGGGAAGGAATGTCCGCCTCCATCAGGCCACGTGTTCGGAAGAAGTGCCCCCCAAACCCGAAGGTGAGAAAGCATCCCTTACCCCTACAGCCCGCCGTTTAAAACCCTGATGTCAGCTCATGGGTTCAAAAGTTGAGTAGGGATGACTTAAAGTCATTCTTTATTTCAACATGAAGCCTAGACCCCAAGCACCCCCTCAACAAGTAAACGGGTACCTGAATTCAGGATCAGCGCCCGAGGTGACTTTTGAGGTAAATGTTCCTAAACCTTGAACATCCTAAACCCTAAACGCTAGACCCTAAACCATCCCTAAACCCTAAAGACTGGCCCCAATATCATCTGGTCACTTCTCTAGGTTACGGCCCCTTTTCGGTTACCATTCTAAGACGGCCCGTTTGGATAACCACAAAAAGGACTACAAGTTTGACAAATGACCATGTAACCTTAGAAGCCCTGAGATTCCTTAAGGAGGGCGTGTAAACCCTGACCCTAAACCCTAAACCCTATCCCCTAAACCCTAAACCCTAAACCCTAAACCCTAAACCCTAAACCGTGTTGGGCTTGCTGGCCAGGGCTGCAGCTCGCTGGCCTGGAGGATCGTTTCGTGTCGCGCTGGCCGTACGAGGCCCGGAGCCCTTGGTGCGTGGACTGCAGGTGTTGGGGCTTTTGGAGGGTTAGGGTTTAGGGTTTAGGGTTTAGCGTTTAGGGTTTAGGGTTTAGGGTTTAGGGTTTAGGGTTTAGGGTTAGGTTTTCGGGTTTAGGGTGTACGGTGTACGGTTTAGGGTTTCGGGAGAGCTCTGGGGGGGTGTAGGTTTCAGGGTTTAGGGAGAGCTTTGGAGGGTGTAAGTTTGTAGGGTTGATGATGGCTTTTTGGGGTTAGGATGGCTTGAGGTTTCGGATGGTTCCGGGTTACGGTGCGTGGGGCTGTGGGGCTGGAATACATGGTTCAATCTTTCCGGTTCAGCTGGTCAGTTGACAGTCGCACCCCTCAGGTGATTCATGGCCTCACCAACGTACGAGGCCTTTGCGGGTGCTTGGGACTGGCAGTATAAACATCGCTGTTTTGAAGTTGCTTGTTTTGCACCAGGAGGTGTAGGAAAGAATAGCCAAAGTCTCGGGGCAGCGTGCTGTTAATTTGCACGCCGCCCTTTCGTGGAAGACGCGGCACTGTGCTTTTTGCCAACAGCCAGTTTCATTCTGCCAGGAGCGTGCATACACATGTACAGGGAAAGACATCATCATACCCCAGTACTTTATAGGGCTCTTCAGGGAATACCCCCCTTGAACCCCCTCCCGCTAAGGACCCTATAAGTGCCGGTACAGATCTTCAAGCCTGATTAGACTACTCACGAAGAGCAAGCCCCCAACTGCAGGGCCAAGCAACCAAACTCGCAAAGAAGCGACCTGCGTGTTCATGGATCCTTTGAGAGGCGGCTTTTGCTGCCTTCCGTTGCCTTCCTCCATGCGGGAGCTGGTCGCGTCGGAAGATGTCTGGTGCGCCCCGTGGGGCGCCGGGGGGCGGGGAGGGGGGCGGGTATCCAGGATAGCAGGCTCGGGATGCCTACGGTGCGCCCGCCCACAACATGCATGGTTGGTAGGTTGCTGCATGAGACCTTAACCCCTAGGTAGAGCAAGAGCTAGGCAGCTAGGGGTTGGGGTCTTGAGGAACTTTGACAAGGCTCGCAGGCTGTGTGGGGTGTGCGAAGAGAGGGGCTCACAAGCTGTGTAAGGAGCATCGCGGATGCCGAAAGCCAGGTTTTGTAAAGCCGATATGGGACGCAAGCAGGCACCAAATGACAGTTTGCCGAGTCCCACAAGCGCGGCTTGCAGGGCCTTTCGGAAGTCGGTCCCTACGCAGCATGACTGAAACAGCGCACGAACAAACTAAGCCAAACCGATCCTGGACCTGTAAGTCGTGGGTATTGCATGAACTCGCATGTCTATCAGCGCAGTCCAACGTACCAGCTTTCCCGAAAAGTACGACATTGCATGCACCGTATTGAGTGTCCCTAGTTCATTCTCAGCGTTTCCACCGCATCGGTGCATAAGTAGGCAGAGCTGCTCGGAAAAGTGGCGCGGTCGCTCGTCAACCGACGCGCCTAAAACTCTGTAAAACAAGCATAAGAGGAAGAAGAAGAAGATGATGATGATGAGAAAAGATGAAGAAGATGGTGGTGATGATACTGATGATGCATGAAGGGCCAGAGGTATTACTTCAGAATCAAGAACAACAATAGTACCGATAAAAGCAGCGATAGGCAGCAGCAAAAGGAACAGCAACATCCATGGCAACAACAGTAATGAACAATAGCCAACAGCGATGACAAACATGTAGTGCAGCAACAATCGTCTAAAGACAGGGGTCGGAATACTTTCTGATAGTTTTCCCTTATGGTCCCTACATCAATAGACCAAAATAAGCCCCAACACCCTTACTAACTATTGCGGCCCCTACTTTGCACCATGTCGCTACGATCTGAAGCCCCTAAACCCCTAAACCCTAAACCCTAAACCCTAAACCCTAAACCCTAAACCCTAAACCCTATTCCAGAAATTAAGGCTCCTGTTGTTACACCATTTCACTACCTTCTGAAGCCTCTCCTGAAAAGGCCCCTGGAGGCCGTCGGGACACTCCCGAGTCTGCCTGAAGGCTTGGAATCCAGGGCTTGGGGTTTAGGGTTTAGGGTTTAGGGTTTAGGGTTTAGGGTTTAGGGTTTAGGGTTTAGGGTTTAGGGTTTAGGGTTTTAGGGACGAGGGTTTAGGGTGTAAAGTTTTGGGTGTAGGCTTTAGGCCTTAGGGTGGTTAGGTGCTAGGTTTTAGGGACGAGGGTTTAGGGGTTCAGGCTTTAGGACCAGAAGAAAGGCTCAGGGTTTGCAGGGGTTTAGGGTTCGGAGGGTTAGAAGGGTTAGTAGGGTGAGTAGGGTTAGTAGGGTTAGTAGGGTTAGTAGGGTTAGTAGGGCTAGTAGGGCTAGTAGGGCTAGTAGGGTTAGTAGGGTTAAGTAGGGTTTAGGGTTTAGGGTTTAGGGTTTAGGGTTTAGGGTTTAGGGTTTAGGGTTTAGGTAGGGTTTAGGGTTATGGGCCCCCCAAAAGCAGGAAGGCTGCTGCTGGGAGCCGGGCACCTGCAGCGCATACGCCAGCCCTTCGACCAGGCACTGATCCTAAGACATGGGGGCTTCCAAGATTTAGGGTTTAGGGTTTAGGGTTTAGAGCTACCTTCTTGGGGGTCTTTATTGTAAGGGAATCCTACTACCTGGGGGTCTATATTTGGGGACCCCCTATTTTCGTAAACCCCCGTATGGCTCGGAAGATGTGTTTCCAGGGTTTAGAGCTTCAGGTGCGGCTTAGGGTTTACGAGGTTTTTTGGGGGGGTTTAGGGCCACGGGCTTCGCGCTCCGGATATATCTAGAGGACCACACGCTGCTTCAGGGTTAAGATGCGGGCTCGAATGATGTGATACCCTCGCTCTAAGATATCCAGCACCCCTGCCCCCGAACTCGACGTACAGTATTCCCATCCCTGGGAATGATCAAGAGGAGTGGGGACGAACACTAGGGGGAGGGAACTAGACCTGATTTGTGACTAGCTGCCATGTCTCGTATATGTCTCTTTCTTGTCTTGGTATGCCTGCCTCGCTTGTGTTGCTAGGCGTGGTTTGCGCAAAACTTAAACCGGCACTTGCCCCACAGGGCGTCACAGGGGTGACATTCACATGCATTACATGAGCCCTGCTCCTGCTGACCCATGAAGTCTTCTACACCCAAAACCGATCGTCAACATGCAACCTAACCCACACAGCACTACGCATGGCAGACGAAAGGAGGTGTGATTTTGGTCCCTTTGGGGTACCCTATTATTGTTTTACCTGTGAGTATACGGGCGGCACAGTTTGTGGCCCCAAAGTTTAGCAGGCTTAGCACTGACTGCTAGGACCGCAAGTCGTGCTGTTTTCGTCTCTTTCCTTTCTTCGGGGGCGGGGGCGGATGGATTTGGTTTGGCAGGGTACCCTGCTCTCATGTAAACCCTAAACCCTAAACCCTAAACCCTAAACCCTAAACCCTAAACCCTAAACCCTAAACCCTAAACCCTAAACCCTAAACCCTACACCCTAAACCCTAAACCCTAAACCCTAAACCCTAAACCCTAAACCCTAAACCCTAAACCCTAAACCCTAAACCCTAAACCCTAAACCCTAAACCCTAAACCCTAAACCCTAAACCCTAAACCCTAAACCCTAAACCCTACCCAAAAGGCCCCGGGGGACGTGTCCCGGTTCCGCCGACAAGCCAAGAGTCGCGTCTTGCCTTCTCGCTTTGTTAGGGATTTGGGGGGGCAGTTTGGGACGTAAAAACGACACGAGCTTCAGGGTTTAGGGTTGTTAGGGTTTAGGGTTTTGGGTTTGTGAAAGAAGACGATCTTTGTAGTTTCAAGGTTCTTTCTTTCTTTTCCCGCAGGTTGATGGAGAAGTAAGTAAGGGGTTAGAAGGAAGCTGGCTTGACCTCCACAAAGACCCCTAAGTATACTGGTGCAGCAGTCAGATCTCCGGCTTCGCAGTCGCATTCGGTACGTTTTGCTGAGGTATATCTGTGCTGCTCTCAGTAGCTATGCAGACAGAGGTAGTGCGAAGAGACCCCGAGACCGAGACGGAGACGGAGGGGGAGGAAGAAAGATAGACGGAGAGAGCTGGGTTGAGCTCACACCCATCTGCAGACGGGCATGTAGACACCCGAAAGATTGTAGACAAATCCGTCGAAATCAGCGCAGGTGCTTCGCTTGAGGTGCTTATAGGGCCAAATTCCAGCCTACCACAACCATAGTAGGGATCACCTACCTGACTCTGGGCTTCCTGCCAGACCTACCACCAGCAGCTGACCCAGATCTTCCGATGACGATCAGAGCCCGGAAATTTTCGGGGGAGGGGTGCGGGGGGGGGGGGGGGGGGGGGGGGGGGCTATGAACCCCCCATCGACTCAACCTTGAATCCCTAAGTCAAGTCTCGAAGTCTTGGTCTCTATAGAGCCGAAATCCTAAGCTAGTTGTTCCGCTCAAGTTTCCTAGGGAAAGGGCTTGGTGCCTATGAGGTCCCGCGGCAGTTCTGGATGGCCAAACCTGATGAGCACGGCTGGAGATTGTGTAGAGTTCTCAGCCTATCGAAAACTCGGAACTTCAGAACATCTTTGAGTTTATTGCCCAAATCCTCCATTTTCGGGAGCCGAAGGAGGACGGCAAAGCAGCAGTCGTGTAGCACCTCCCTGTACACTTAACCAGCTAAGACATCCATATCCTTACCCTCTGAGCCCTCCAGAGGAGCCCACAACCCTCAACACCTCTGCCAAATCTGGCGTAGAATGTGTTTGCCCGTGTCACACCATGCTTCGCATGGTGAGGATTTCAGTTCCTTTACAGTAAGCCCCAAAAAGGTTGGAAACCTGTTTAAGGACAAGTAGTGCTGGGATTCCCTATGCTTTACCCTTGAGGCTGTTGAGTTTCCAACTTTTTGGCTTCTACTGCAACCCCTAAGCCCGTGAGACGAAGGTTCTTCTACCTGCTTAGGGACGCGGAGCCCTTCGACGTAGTCGCCGTGTCGCCGGAATGGCGCCTGACGTTGTTTTGTTCGGCTTGTGGCTTGAGGGGATCTAGGAGCTGTCGGGATTCAGGGAGTCGGGCTTCAGGTATCAGTGGGGGAAAGGGTCATTGATGTAGCCCTGCATGAAGCGTGGGACGCCGCACTACCAATAGCTTCACAACCCCCCAAAAACATAAGGTTCTTCCTCTTATATAGGTAATATAGGGGAAATTGTCATTGATTTTTGTAAAGGGGTTCTTAAGCAATAGTAGTGCGCAAGGTGCATCACCATCAACGGGCACTTCAGCAGGCATTGGGCGCAGGCACCGCATTCTTGGGGGGGAGGGGGGGCGGGCGGGGGGAGCTGCGGTTTGAGAAACACCCCCGAGTTCTTGTCTCCTAGCACAGTAAACCCTGTACACCCTAAACCCTAAACTTTAAACTTTAGGGCCGAATTAGAGCCCTATAAAGCCGAAAACACGCGAGCTAAGCTTGTTTTGGGTGTAAGACGTCCGCCCCGAGTCCCCCGAGGAGTCAGGCTTGTTGTTTTTTGACACAAACCAAGGCATTTTTTGTGTGAATTTTGCCGTGCTTCTGGGGCTTGGGATCCCAAAACCCGAAACCGAAACCCTATTCCCTAAGCCCTCAGCCCTAAACCCTAAACCCTAAACCCTACACCCTACACCCTAAACCCTAAACCCTAAACCCTAAACCCTAAACCCTAAACCCTAAACCCTACATGTAGACTCTAACTGTCCCTTGTGTTGGATCTGGCACTTTGGGATGCCCAGCACCAGGTGAACTTGCAGGTTCCCCTCTCAACGCTGAACTTGTGGAGCCTTAGGAGGTATGTGCCCTACGCCGGAAACCCGAACAACCAGGAGAAGCCTTAGGGCTTAGTTTAGGGTGTAGGCTTTAGGTACAGGCATTAGGTTCAGGGTTTAGATAGGGTTTAGGTTCAGGGTTTAGGGTTTGCAATTGGGGCTTAAACCCGATACAGAATCTGCTTGAGCTGAGGAGAAGACTCCAGGCTGCATTTGCATCTCCGTCCCTCAACACTGGTTTTGCTTTGCCAAAAGCCCGCGATCCGGAATCGGGATTTTGTAGGGGTGAAATAAGTCGAAACCTCGAAACCTCGAAGCCTAAACCCTACACCCTAAACTCCAAACTCTATGTATGCCCTATAACTTGAGCCAGACATTCTAGTACTGCCTGGTAGGTCCTGCAACCAGGGGAGGAGGCCGCTGGGCTTCGGTACGGTGTCGAGTTTGGCGTGGGCTTTCGGAATACGAAGTAGGGCCTGGGGCTTGGGGTGGGGAATATGGGGGTTACTGGGGTCTTTTCAGGGAATTCTACTAATTGAGGGGCTATCTTAGGGGTTCCTGATTTTCCGTCAACCCTATGGGTCGGAGGGGAAGGGGGGATGGGATATGATGGGATTATGAGGGGCGATGAAGAAAGGAATAGCTCCAAAGCCACCAGACCCAAGTTTGCACGCACAGCTGCTTGGCATGTGTGGTTCTGAACTTTCAACTCTTTCCAAAACAAGAAGGCTCGGGTTTTTGGGTTTGGGTTCCAGTTTTGGGATCGACGGCCGCGGCCCTTGGTTCACTCGCCACGGTCATGGATCCGAACTCTAGGAGTTAAGGACTTCGAAGCTTGGCGCTACGCCCGAATCCGTTTCTCTTACACATCCCTCACCCCAGGCCCTCCCTCCAGATTCCGCGCACTCTGCTCGCCCTGCGCCCGAAGCGCCAAACCTGGCGAGATGTATATATGCAGTGGATACCCCGCACCTGATCTTCTCTCGCCCCTCGGATGGCGAGTCTCCCCGCCCCCAACACTAACCTTGCACACCCTGAATGAGAGGAGCAGTCTTCAGGTTTAGGGGCCATTGCAAGTCCTGAGCCGCAAGCTCAACCGAAAGAGAGCGGCACAGAATGCAGGGCAGAATATCCACTACTATGAATGGCACAACGCGCACCCAGCAGCAGCAAGTAAAACAGAGGGAGGAAAAAGGCTGAAAAAACTCCTAACCCCTAAACCCTAAACCCTAAACCCAGGCGTGTGAGTCGATTCAGTTCGTTTCCGGCCTCGCCTGGCGAGGCGAAGAGGCCCACGGTTTGGTCCAACATCAGAGTCGGAGCTTTTCGCGAAATTTGAGGGAATTCCCCGGGTTTAGGACTTAGGGTTTAGGGTCTTTTTTCACGCCAAAATTGTTAGAATCTTTAGTATAGTGAAACACCCCCCGCCCCCCCCCCCCAAAAGAATACTAAAATTAAAAAATTGGAACCAGCCCAGTTCAATATAGGAGCCCAAACAACTCTCCATAGTACCCCCTTCAATACGTCCCTGCTGAGGTCTAGGGAAAAATATACTACATGCGTGGCTGTTCAGGGTGTAGAGGGCTTTCGGTTGCGATGGAGGTTCCGGGATAGCTGCGTGCGTGCAGTTGCGCAGTTTTGTGCGACTTCCGGCATGGAGCCCTTGGACGGAAGGGTCCTCTGGCATCCTCTGGCTGAACCTACCCTATCCTTTGCAACCGACTTGGTGTGTGTGTGGTGACTATACTTGCACTCCATATCTGGGTTAAAGTAATGATCCTAAGAAGACAGGGTAGATTCGGGAAGGTTGACAGAAACCGCTGAAACACCTCAGGCCCAAAAACCCTAGACCAGTGAAAGCCCCCAAGTTTGTTTGAAGCCCTCGACCACGCCGTTCCTCGGGCTTTAGATCGCTGAGCTGCTAGCCTCTAAGGGGCCGTGTAACTATGTAGCGCATATTTGGGCCCTGAAGCCACTGTATAGGACCCCCCTTGAAGGCCCAAGTATATATGGGTACATGGACCCTTTACCCCCACATGGCACAAGGTGGTGGTGGCCTATGGAATCAACGACTGCGAGTCGGACGTCCTGGTGCTCCCCGCAGCGAAGGCGCCAGGGCCAAGCTCCCTTGCTACTAACTGCCCCTAAACCCTAAATCCTAAACCCTAAACCCTGGACCCCAAAAAACAAAATGTAATTCCTTATTAAGGCTAATGTAGGGATTGTTATATATATATATATATATTCTTTTGGGGTTCTTAAGCAAGTGGTAGCTTAGGGAGGCATCTGCATCTTGGACTGTTTGGGGTGTAGGGTTTTAGGTTTGTCGGGCTCTAGGGTTTTGGGGCTTTGGGGTTTTGGGGTTTGGGGTTTTTAGGGCTTTAAGGGTTTTGGGGGTTTTGGGTTTTTAGGGCTTCGGGGTTTAGGGGCTTTGGGGTTCTAGGGCGTTTGGGGTGTAGAGTTGCGGGCCGCTTCGGGGACTCCAAACACCACTCTGCCACTTGCTTCCGAGTCTTGCAAGCAGAGCATTTTTGACTTTCAGCTAGCTTACCCTAAGGGTCCATCTACATAAATAGGGAACGCTTGGGCCTTAGAGTACTTCCTGTATAGAACCCTAAACCCTCAACCCTAAACCCTAGACCCTAAACCCTAAACCTTAAACCCTGCGGCCCAAGTAATTATACAAGAATAAGGTACATGAATCCCTAGGGTCGGCTGAAAGCCCTATAACACCTAAAGCCGCAGAAACCCTGGAGCTGCTCGCCTAAAGCCAGCACAAGAACCGAAGCCCCCTAGGGTTTAGGGTTTAGGGTTTAGGGTTTAGAGGTTTAGGGTTTAGGGTTTGAACTCAACACCCCTCGCACCCCCCAAAATCCTTGAAAGCCTTCACCTCCTACAGCCCATGAAACCCCTAAACTTGTGATGTTCCCTCCTATACGAGCAGTCCTTAATAGGGATTCTGATAGGGGGGTGCTAGAATCCCTACTAAGGACTGTTGGTATAAGGGGGAACATCCCAAGCTCTAAAACCTGCGCTTCAAGGTTTAGGGTTTAGGGTTTAGGGATCAGGGTTCCTCACCTCCTGGAACCCGATCCACAGCTCCCTTGCGGGTCTCAGCGGTGGGAAGCCCAGCGTCGCGAACCCTAAGCCCTAAACCCCAAACCCCAAACCCTAAACCCTAAACCCTAAACCCTAAACCCTAAACCCTAAACCCCAACCCTAAACCCTAAACCCCAAACCCTAAACCCTAAACCCTAAACCCTTACACGCATCCCCGGCAAGCCTGGAACCCTACGAGGTGCTCGGCATGCTACGGCCGGTGAAGTCGGATCTGAACGTCTCGCTGGACGACCTCGAGATGATTTGAGTCCAGTTCAAAAGGATGCGCTGGGTTTCGGGTCACTTTAGGGTTTAGGGTTTAGGGTTTAGGGTTTAGGGTTTCGGGTTGGTGTTGGGGTTCAGGGTTAGGGTGTAGGGTTTAGGTTTTAGGGTTTAGGGGCGATACCGGGTACAGTGCTTGCTTTGAGCGTGCGAAAGCAGGGACACATTCCAGGTCTAAACCCTAAGCCCTAAACCCTAAACCCTGAACCCTGAACCCTATACCCTAAACCCTAAACCCTGGCTGGCCGGGGTTTCCGGCTTATTCCGGCTTGGCTTCTATAGGCAGCTTCTTCCCAGACTCGGCCCTAAACCCCAAACCCTAAACCCTAAACCCTAAACCCTAAACCCTTCTGCCCGGACTCCGCCCCCCGTTCCTGCCCCTCTCGGCCCAAACCGCCTCCTGAACCGCCAATCTGCCAGCTTTACCGCCGAGGTGGGCTCTGAGAACCAGGAGTTTAGGGTTTAGGGTTTCGGGTTGCAGGGTTTAGGATTCAGGATGCCGAGCTTTAGGGCCCCAAAACAAGTGAACTTTCAGCCGGAGTTGCTGGGGTTTTGGGGTGCTTTTGCTGTCAGCAGGGAGTTTCAATGAGAGGCCCACACGGCTTGGTTATGTTTGCAGGGATGACGCGCTTGGGCCTGGTGGTCGGGTAACGGATCTCATGTTACTGCTTCAGGGGTCTGGCTCAGGGTTTAGGCTTCCGAGTAGAGTGGGGGCTTCCGTAATTGCTATGCAAGCTTGCAGGGTGGGATTCAGGGTTGCGGGGTTGGGGCAGGCTGTCAACGTCAAGGTGGTCTTGCCTACAACAGAATGGGCATACCCAAGTAACATGCACGTATTGCCCTGCTTAAGTTGAGGTCCTAAGTCCCAGGTCCTAAACTCCTGAAGCCTCTCAATCCAAGCCTTGCAGACCCCAACCCCTGAAGCCCAACCATCCCCCCACAGGGCCCCGAAGGGACCAGCGATGATCGGCGGGGTCAATTATGCCACGGCCTGAGAGGTCCTTGTCTTTTTTGTGGGATTTTGTGAGTTTGGGCTTCCTTTTGGCTAGGGCGAGGGGAGGAGCTAAGCTAGTTGGATCCCATCACCCATGCTCTGCCCCCAAGAAAGCAAACAAGAACAAAAAACACACACAGCCCTCCAACATGTTAAGGTTCTGAGAGGCGGGATTGGGTGCGTTCTTACTCACACAGGCTTGGACGGTGGCGGTTTTGGCAGTCTCGCGTTGTGTTGCTTGCACAAGCTTGGCTTGTGCTGCCAGAAGCTGTGGCGTTGCCCTCGACGCAGCAAGGGAGCCTCTGAAAAGCCAACCGAGCAACGGAGGATGCACAGTAGTAACCATCTGCCGTTTGTGTTCCGGTTCGGGCTTCCATGAGTAAGTGTTTAGGGTTTCAGGGTTCAGGGTTCAGGGTTTAGGGTTTAGGGTTTAGGGTTTCTCTTTGGCTACTACCTGGTGCAGCCTGGCCCCTGTTTCTGAGGATGGTGGGCCCATGCCGCCTGGGCCTCCCCTTGGGATGTGCGACCCCGAGTAAGGGTTCAGGGTTCAGGGTTCAGGGTTCAGGGTCTAGGGTTTAGGGTTTAGGGTTCAGGGTGTAGGGTTTAGGGTTTAGTGTTTAGGGTTTAGGGTTTAGTAATAGGACTTCAGGGGGTTTGACTGAGGTTTCCGCACTTGGGGTCCCTATAGTGGTGCGCGAAACCATGAAGATCAGGCACCTAATGGTTGCTTTTTATAAGGAGGGTTTTGGGGTTGAGCTTGTTTATGGCACCTTTTTACTCGCGTGGGGGGAGGGGAGGGGGATTTTGGATTGGGAACTTTCTTCGGTCCCAAACCCCACCCTAAATCACCCTAAACCCTAAACCCTAAGCCCTTACCCCTCAACCCCCCACAGCCCTGGAAAGCCCACTGCTGGAAGGCGAGAAGGAGGCGCTCCGAACGGAGGCGGAGCATGCGCTCTGGGCTTGGGGAAGGGAGTGAGTGCCCAAGGGCCAAATAGCTCCAAAAGCCCGAAACCCTGAACCCTGAACCCTAAGCCCTAAACTCTAAGCCCTAAACCCTAAACCCTAAACCCTGAACCCTGAACCCTGAACCCTAGACCCTAGACCCTAGACCCTAAACCTTCCTTCCAAACCCTAGACCCTGAAGCCCGAAACCCTGGATGCCGAAAGCCCTGAACCCTCATCCTCAGACTCTATAGGCCTCCGAGCCCTTGCACAAAAAGGCCCTGCAGGCAAACTGTGTTTAAAAACTTCTGCGAGTAGGTTTAGGGTTTAGGGTTTAGGGTTTAGGGTTTAGGGTTTCGGGTTTCGGGTTTCGGGTTTCGGGTTTCGGGAGTTTTTTTTGTGCCTTTAGGAAATTTCGGGCGCGGGGGTGGCGGAAGCCTTTTGGCCTTGAATCGGGGGTTCTGAAATCAGGGCCTCCTTGCACACCGCTTTGGAGTGGACGCTGAACAACGGGGACTCTGATCAGACTCTAGAGCACCCTAAACCCTAGACCCTAAACCCTATACCCCAACCCCCAAACCCCAAACCCTCTAAGCCCAGTGGTACCCTTTACCCTTTTTTTGGGTTCTGGTTTCCCTTGTAAGAAAAAGCAACCCAAAAAGGCCCGTTTAAACCAAAAACTCTTGGGTCTAGGAAGCTTTATACTCCGAAACTCCGACGAGTCGCAAGCGCGCTGCGCCCTGTTTAGGGTTTAGGGTTTAGGGTTTAGGGTTTAGGGTTTAGGGTTTAGGGTTTAGGGTTTAGGGTTTAGGCTCGAAAGGAAGATCCACTAAGCCCTTTGGACAGGTGCCGCCTCTCTCCAGGCTAAGATGAACAGGCCACATGGTTTCGGGGTTCGGGGCACATGGAGTATGGCCTTTTTGGGTTGGTATTGTAGGACATACCGTGTAGTTTCGGGGGCAAACATATGCCCACAGGTTGTTCTTTAGTTCCTTGGGCAGCCAGATGGGCTGTGTCTATACATCCCACCTGTGGCCCAGAGTTCCTCGAGAAACGTGGGCTCCCTGAACGAAAGCTGCATGAGGTGCTTTATAAGGTTCCTGCAGTAGCTTCACATTCGCTGGGTTCCTTGGAGCATGTGAGACACAATAGAATCTCAAATCTGCAGCCAATAGTGTTTGCGGTCATGTGGTTTTTGGTCTCTCAGTTATTGTTGCTAAATGGCACAGCCGCAGTGTCACGAGGGCCCAAAGAGGGGCGCGAAATTTTCTGAAGTCGGGAATGCTGGAATGCACTAAGGAGCCATTTTGCAGGGCTTAGGGCTTGGGGGCTACCCATCTTCTAAGAGACACGTGGTCGTGTTAGGCAGCGGCAGCTAGCGCTGGAGAGGCAGCGCGTATCTGCCAGGCAGGATGCTTGTTCAGGCTGTCTTGTGTAAGTGCAGTCTCAGCCACCCTAAGCTTTAACCTAAAAGCCCGAAACGCCCTAAAAGCTGGAGGCCCGAACCCGAAAGCCGTCACCCAAAACACGGAAGCCACACATTCGCAACGCAAGGACGAAGGCAATTGAGTCATGAGATGCTATGAGAAGTGATATCCGTCATGCTTAGTTTATGGGCTGTCACAGAGGGCCCATATGGGTCTAGGGATGTTTAGGCTTAGGGCTTCACGACAGTTTGGGGTTAATGTTAGGTTAGGGTCTAGTTGAGTTCATCTCTTGCCGAGGAAGCAGTTGGGCGCTGGCGTGATCGCCAGCGCGAACCCCTTGATGCAGAGTTCGCCCTTTCGCGCCCCTCGGGCATGTCAGTGTGTGGCGACAACTAGGCTTCGGTTGAAACCCCAAGCCCTAAACCCCAAACCCCAAACCCCAAACCCCAAACCCCAAACCCCAAACCCCAAACCCCCTAACCCCAAACCCCAAACCCCAAACCCTTACCGCCATTGGCTTGCGAAGCCCCACGCCGACTCCACAAGCCAACATCTATTTCCCACAAAGCCCCCAAAAGGCCCTGAAACCTTGGGCCCCTGCAACCTCAAACTTGCTGGTTCCTCGTAGGGAATGAGGGAATCAGGTACCTTATATCCCGTGATATATACATATATGTATGTATATATATATATATATATACATATCTAATATGCGCTGTAAGGGATTCTATAGGGTACCTAATTCCCACATTCTAAGAGCCAGTTGAGTAAACCAGGGCGTGAAGCGGAGAAGCTGAGAGTCCTATGAACATCCCTCCGCCTTCAAGCTTGATGACCTCCTCAAATAAAGACATGTTCTTTTGATCGCGAGCGCTTCTGGGATTCCAAGGAGGCCGCAAGAGTTGTTGTTCGAAGTACTTTGCTTTATGGCCGCGGTGTCGGGATTATCGAAAGATTTTCGGCTTCAGCTCTTTGATCAGCAGGGCTTTCGGTTAATATTGGGGGGTTGAAGAATCTGTAAGGTTAGTGCTGCAGCTAAGCGGAGTTGATGAATGCAGCAGGGAAGGGCTTCAGTCAAGTTCTTGCGACATCTTTGGCAGAGCTTCAGGGCTCGCCGGACTCTACTCGGAGGAGGTTATTGATTATTGGGGGACGTTGAACCTATATACAAGCATCCACAAACCCTCAACCCGGAATCTCGAACTTTGAGCAGCGAAGTTGCGCCAGGGCGGAGACTGGGATCAGATTGTCCCCGACAAGCCCTTGGCTCAGCTGCATCGTTTTTGACCTCAGTTTGCAAGTTCGGAATATAAAAGTAATAATAATATTCTTGTTATTATTATTACGGTTATTACTACTATGAGTACTATTATTATTAATTTTATAATCATCATATCAAATCAAGCTCGAATTTCTTAGACCCCTGCGCCGCGAAAACCTGGAGCCGTCGACGCTGATGCCCGAAACCTCAAAGCTCACTGCCCCTAAACCCCGAACCCTAAACCCCTAAACCCCTAAACCCCTAAATCCCTAAACCCTAAACCCCTAAACCCCTAAACCCCTCAACCCCTCAACCCCTCAACCCCTAAACCCCTAAACCCCTAAACCCTAAACCCTAAA